GTGTACGTTAAGACCGAGGTCAGCAACAATCGAGATCAAGTATGACCGGCTTCGAGGGGAGCATAATAACGGAATGGCTAGATATCAGTAACCGGTCGAAGATCACTGCGTGAATCTCGGGACGGATATCCGTGATTGGTCGAGGATCATGGCGTGAATCTCGGAATGGACCAAATCAGAAGCGGTTGACTAGCTGTTTATACGATTTCCTTCTGTAATTACAGACATGCCATAATTAGGTTTCCTCTACTATATAAAGAGGAGTTCTAATCAGATTCACTGATAAGAATATACATATACGCTGCTTTCTTTGTCTTACTTACTGTCCATCCTCTATTGTTCTTATTAACTAACCTCAAGACTATCTCGAATCAAGGACGAGGCATTGTTTGCAGACCGATTTGATTTATTTTATTGTCCAATTTATCTATTTAATTCATTGTTTATCAATTGGTGCTGGTTTAAATCACATATCCTTAAAACTACAATATAAGTTTAATTGTTACTCAATTTTTAGGGTAAACAGTTTGGCGCCCACCGTGGGGCTGAGGATAATAGTGATTGTTCAATATTGATTCTAGTAAAACGCACTATTGTATGCTTGTTCTTGTCAAGTATCTTTGCTTTCATGTTAAAACATGTCAAACTCACAGAACGCATCCATACACGGTGACAACGGCCTCAGATTCCACGGTGAAAACGAAAATGTAATTGCTCCAGGAGTCGAGGTGCCACGGTCTAATTTCGGGGGAGCACCGGTTTCCAACCCAGTCGATGCCAATTTGCACGTTGCTCTAAATGGGGACCTAGGGGTAGGTCTCGATGGGAGCGTATGCAAAGAAGGCCGATCTAGTGACCAAGGAACACAAGGCAGAGGAGATGAAGGAGTCAGTCTCCAAGTGATATTCGAGTTGCTTTAGGCTCAGCAAGCCGCTATTGCTCAGTTACAAATTCAACATAGAGCTTCGAATAGGGTCGAGCCGGAAATTACTCGCCGTACCGAGCCAGTACTGGAAAGGTCGAATGGAAACGAATCGAGGACTGATCCTGCGGTAATGAAAATGCTCGAGGAGCTCACCAAAAGAATTGAATCGGGGGAGAAGAGTATCGAAGCCAACGGTAAAAAAGTGGAAACATACAACTCTCGAGTTGACCAGATACCGGGGGCACCGCCAATCTTGAAAGGGATGGATTCGAAGAAGTTTGTACAAAAGCCGTTTCCTCCAAGTGTAGCTCCGAAGCCTATTCTAAAGAAGTTTTGTATGCCAGACATACCCAATTATAATGGGACCACCGATCCCAACGAGCATGTTACTTCATATACATGCTCTATCAAGGGTAACAATTTAGAAGATGATGAAATCAAATCTGTGCTATTAAAAATATTCGGAGAGACCCTTTCGAAGGAGGCAATGATTTGGTATCACAACCTGCCACCAAATTCCATCGACTCATTTGCCATGTTAGCAGATTCTTTCGTAAAGGCACACGCCGGGGCCATAAAGGTCGCAACGAGGAAATCAGAACTTTTCAAAGTAAGACAAAGGGATAATGAAATGCTGAGGGAGTTCGTATCCCGATTTCAAATAGAACGCATGGAGTTCCCACTTGTCACAGATGATTGGGCCGTTCAAGATTTCACCCAAGGGTTGAACGAGCGGAGTTTGATAGCATCACATCAGTTGAAACAAAATTTGATCGAGTATCCAGCTATAACTTGGGCAGATGTGCACAATCGATATCAATCAAAGATTAGGGTCGAGGACGACCAATTAGGAGCCCCTCCCGGTTCAGTACATCTAAACAGGTCGGCAATTAAAAACCAGAGGGCCGTCAACAGGGAGCCAGGATCGAACAGAGACCGATATCAACCATACACCACAGATCGAAGGAACAATGGTTCAGGACGCAATTCCGCACGGAGCAATCGAAGAAGTGATCGAGGACAGAATTCTTGGGGACTTATGAGCAAAAGTGGTTTTGACAAGTATGACGATCCCCCAGAGGCACCTCGGTTATCGGAATATAACTTTAGCATCGATGCATCGGGTATTGTATCGGTAATCAGAAGAATCAAAGATACTTGGTGGCCCAGATCCATACAAAACAATCCTTCCCAAAGAAACCCAAATTTGATGTGCAAGTATCATGGCACGCATGGTCACAAGACCGAGGATTGCAGGCAATTAAGGGAGGAGATAACCCGTCTATTCAATGAGGTCCACCATCGAGAGTTCCTCAGCGATCGAGCCAAGAATCATTTCAGAGAAAGGGACGCCAATAGGAAAAATGAACAGGAAGAACCCAACATGTCATTCATATGATCGTCGGTGGGGTCGACATTCCACAGGGACCCATATTCAAACGCACTAAGGTATCAATCACTAGGGAAAAAATGAGCCCGAGAATATGTGCCCGAAGGCACTTTATCTTTCAATGACGAAGAAGCAGAAGGCATTTCTCAGCCCCACAACAACGCTCTGGTAATTTCTATCTTATTAAATAAAGTTCAAGTTAAGCGTATTTTAGTGGATCCAGGTAGCTCAGCGAATATCATCCGATCGAGGGTCATGGAGCAGCTCGGCCTACAAAATCAAATTGTGCCCACAACTTGGGTCTTAAACGGATTCAATATGACCAGTGAAACAACTAAATGGGAGATTATTCTACCGGTGAACGTGACTGGAACCATTCAAGATACTAAGTTCCACGTAATCGAGGGCGATATGAGGTACAATGCACTACTCGGTAGATCTTGGATCCATAATATGAGGGCAGTCCCTTCGAATCTCCACCAAATGATGAAATTCTTGGCGTCGGCCGGGGTAAAAATAATATACGGGGAGCAGCATGCTGCAAAGGAAATGTTTGCGGTCGATGAGGTAACACTGATATCGACACTATCAACCTCGGAAAGGTCGAGCATAAAAAGTAAACAGGAAGTCAAATAGCAATCACAGCCACCAGCCTCGACCGAATCAGGGAAGCAGGAGATATAAGAAGAAGAGGAGGATTTTCTGACCCCTCAAACTTTTATTGTTCCCGAAGATTCTGACGCCACCAAATCAACGGTCGAAGAGCTAGGACAGGTTATATTGATCGAGTACCTACCCGAGCGAAAGGTATACCTGGGAACGAGATTAACCCACGAACTCAGGAAAAAGCTTATTCAATTTCTTATTGATAACATAGATTGTTTTTGCTTGGTCCCATTTAGACATGACAGGGATCCCACCGGAGATAACAACGCATCAGCTAAGCCTGGACCCTAGGTTCAGACCGGTGAAGCAAAAGAGAAGACCTCAGTCTGAGGTAAAGCATGCATTCATAAAGGACGAGGTAACTAAACTTCTCAAGATAGGGTCCATTCGGGAGGTGAAATATCCCGAATGGTTAGCCAATGTAGTTGTAGTCCCAAAAAAGGGAACAAACTTAGAATGTGTGTAGATTATAAGGATTTAAACAAGGCATGCCCCAAAGATTCTTTTCCACTGCCTAACATCGATCGCATGATCGATGCCACGGCTGGCCATGAGATCCTTACTTTTCTCGATGCCTATTCCGGGTACAATCAAATCCAAATGAACCTGGAGGACCGAGAAAAGACTTAATTTATCACCAAGTATGGAACATATTGTTATAATGTAATGCCCTTCGGGCTAAAAAATGCAGGAGCTACTTACCAACGCCTAGTAAATAAAATGTTCGAAGAACAAATAGGTAAATTAATGGAAGTTTATATTGATGACATACTAGTTAAGTCCCTGCGCGCAGAGGACCATTTGGCTCATTTTCAGGAAATATTCGAGATTTTAAGGAAATACAACATGAAGCTCAACCCCGAGAAATGTACTTTCGGGGACGGTTCGGGCAAGTTCCTTGGCTTCATGGTATCAAATTGGGGAGTCGAGATCAACCACGAAAAAATCAAGGCCATCGAAGACATCACCATCGTGGACAGTGTAAAATTCGTGCAGAGGCTAACTGGACGGATAGCTGCCTTAGGCCGATTCATTTCGAGGTCATCGGATCGAAGCCACAAATTTTTCTCTCTGCTAAAAAAGAACAATTTTGCCTGGACCCCGGAATGCCAACAAACATTAGAGGAATTGAAGCGATACCTATCGATCGGTCGAAATAAATTTCAGCCTTCTTATGATCGATCGAGTTCGAAACATAATCGATCGATGCGAGACTTCGAGTCGGGTTCTGAAGATGGTACAAACAAGCTTCAAGTCCGAGGGGCCGATATCCTTATCGAGCCCGAATCCAAATCGAGCTATGATGCAAAGTAAAGTTATCGAGCTTATGATCCAGAGACCGACCAACATCGATCCCGAATCAATTCAAGGGTCCGAGTTAGAATCGAGCTCAAGCCAATATCGAGAGCTTGAATCAAGACCAAAGACCCGAGTCAATATCGAGTTCATAGACAAGAGCCGTTGCAATCCCACTAGAGGAGAGAATCTCGGCAGGAATTGTGAAAAAGCTGATTTATCATGGTCTCCCACTATGTATTTTTAATTATATTTAAAGTAAGATCCCTCTACTATAAAAAGGAATGGTTATCATTTCGGTTAGGGCAAGTTTTTTCATGCCTTACATTGTAATAAAAACACTATATTCCCCCATGGTAAAGAGTTGTTCTTTTAAACTTCTTAAATTGATTCCACTTGTTTAGTCCTGAAATTCATCTTTCTTACAATCTTATCTATTTTGCATTCTTTGCAATCCATACTTATATTCCTATTTATCCTTACAATTTGTATTAAGTTGCGCCACATATCCTTAGAACCACGTATAAATTTAACTCTATCCGTTTTTCGGTTAAACAGTTTGGCGCCCACCGTGGGGCTAAGGATAACAATGGTTATTTGATACGAATCTGAAGAAACACACTATTATGTTTTATGCTCGGCTTCGAAAATATCTTGGATTTCGGATTAGCAACGACTAACTACCAATCAAATGGCTTCACCAATCGACAACGGAGCCGGTCTTCAAGATGAGAACAATAATTTGACACCCAGTACAGAAAGGCCACTTGCAAATGCCGTTGGAGCTCGAATCGGAGCGCCAATAGATATTAATTTGCATATAGCCATTGAGGCGAACCTCCATGCTGAACCCGAGAATATCATCCATGGTGGCACTCGGTCTGCAGCTCGAGATACCTATAACGTAGAGGAAAACGGCGTTAGCTTGCATATGATTTTCGAAATGTTGCAAGCCCAACAGGCAGCAATAGCTCAGTTGCAGAGCCAAACCCAGCTACAAAGCAGGCAGGAGCCCAGTTCACCTCGAGAAATCACCCACAGAACGGAGCCAGCCATAGTGAAGTCAAATGAGCAAGAATCGGGGACTACTCCCGAAATTGCTAAATTGATTGAAGAACTCACAAAGCGAGTCGAAGCCAATGATAAAAAGGTAAAAACTTATAACTCTAGAGTCGATCAGATCCCGGGAGCTCCACCAATGATAAAGGGGTTGGATTCGAAAAAATTCGTGCAAAAACCTTTTCCCTCGAGCGCAGCCCCGAAACCAATCCCCAAACAATTCCGAATGCCCGAAATCCCCAAATATAACGGAACGACCGATCCCAACAAGCACGTCACTTCTTATACGTGTGCCATCAAGGGCAATGATTTAGAAGACGATGAAATCGAATATGTGTTGTTAAAAATGCTCGGCGAGACCCTCTCAAAGGGGGCAATGATTTGGTATCACAACCTACCACCAAATTCCATAGACTCATTCGCCATGCTAGCAGATTCTTTTGTGAAAGCACACGCCGGCGCCATAAAAGTCGCAACAAGGAAATCAGACCTCTTCAAGGTAAGACAAAAGGATAACGAGATGCTGAGGGAGTTCGTATCTCATTTTCAAATGGAACGAATGGACTTGCCACCAGTCACAGACGATTGGGCTATTCAGGCTTTCACTCAAGTTTTGAATGAACGAATTTCGATGGCTTCACGGTGATTAAAGCATAACCTGATCGAATATCCAGCCATCACATGGGCCAACGTGCAAAATCGGTACCAATCAAAAATTAAGGTCGAAGATGATCAATTGGGGTCTGAACCCGCAGTTCGAAGGGATACTAATCGATGATCGTTACCAACCGTACAACGGAAGCCACAAAGTCAGTGAATCGAGACACAACCTCATGCAAAATAACAAAAGAGGTGATTAAGGTCAAGGGTCCCGGGGACTGATGAACAGAAGTAGGTTCGATAGGCCTGCCGGATCTAAGGAAGCACCTCGGTTATCGGAATATAACTTCAGCATTGATGCATCCGCCATCGTTTCGGCTATCAGACACATCAAAGACACTAAATGGCCTCGACCCATGCAGACCGATCCTGCCCAGAGGAATCCCAATCAAATATGCGAATATCATGGCACCCATGGCCACAGAACGGAAGATTGCAGGCAACTAAGAGAGGAAGTAGCCCGGTTATTCAACAAAGGGCACCTTTGAGAATTTTTGAGCGATAGGGCGAAGAACCATTTTAAAAATAGGGATTTCGGCAAGCAGAATGAACAAGAAGAACCACAGCACATCATTCACATGATCATCGGCGACGCCGATACCCCTCAGGGACCAGTGCTTAAACTCACTAAGACATCGATTGTGAGAGAAAAGTGATCTCGATCCCAAGATTATACACCCATAGGAACTTTGTCCTTCAATGATGAAGATGCAGAAGGAGTCATACAACCTCATAACGACGCACTGGTAATATCCGTACTCATGAATAAAACTAAAGTTAAGCATGTGTTGATTGATCTAGGTAGCTCGGCCAACATCATTAGATTGAAGGTCGTAGAACAGCTCGGTCTGCAGGACCAGATCGTACCTGCAACCCTGGTTCTAAACGGATTCAATATAGCATGTGAAACCACCAAAGGCGAGATAATTCTACCAATAAACGTGGCCGGAACCATCCAAGAAATGAAGTTCCACGTGATCGAAGGCGACATGAGATACACCGCCCTTTTTGGAAGGCCATGGATCCACAACATGAGAGCTGTACCTTCAACCCTACACCAGGTTCTCAAATTCCCAACATCGAGAGGAGTCAAAACAGTGTACGGAGAACAACCAGCCGCAAGAGAAATGTTCGCTGTCGAGGAAGCGAAACCAATATTCTCGCCTTTGCCAGTAAAGGGATCGGGCTCGGAAGGGGAATGAGATACCAAATAGCAATCACAGACATCGGCTTTGACCCAACCAGATAACCAGAAGATCGAAGAAGATGATGATCAGAGGATCTCTCGATCCTTCATGATTCCCGATGACTCCGACGCCACCAAATCAATGATTGAGGAACTGGAGCAAGTCACACTAATCGAGCACTGGCCCGAACGGAAGGTATACCTGGGAACGGGGTTGAGCCCCGAACTCAGGAAGAAATTTATTCAATTTCTTATCGATAATATTGATTGCTTTTCCTAGTCCCATTTAGATATAACAGGGATCCCTCCGGATGGCTAAGCTTGGACCCTAGGTTCAAACTGGTGAAGCAAAAGAGAAGACCCCAGTCTGAGGTAAAGCACGCATTCATAAAGGACGAGGTAACCAAACTTCTCAAGATAGGGTCCATTCGGGAGGTGAAATATCCCGAATGGTTAGCAAATATAGTTGTAGTGCCTAAAAAAGGGAACAAACTTAGAATGTGTATGGACTATAAGGGTTTGAACAAAGCATGCCCCAAAGATTCTTTGTCGCTGCCCAACATCGATCGCATGATCGATGCCATGGCCAGCCACGAGATCCTCACTTTTCTCGATGCCTATTCCGGTATAATCAAATCAAGTTGAACCCAGAGGACCAGGAAAAGACTTCATTTGTCACCGAATATGGAACATATTGTGATAACGTGATGCCCTTCGAGCTAAAAAATGCAGGGGCTACTTACCAACGCCTAGTAAATAAAATATTCGAAGAACAAATAGGTAAATCAATGGAAGTTTATATTGATGACATGCTAGCTAAGTACCTGCGCGCAGATGACTATTTGTCCCATTTGCAAGAAACGTTCGAGATTTTGAGGAAATATAACATGAAGCTCAACCCCGAAAAATGTGCTTTCGGGGTCGGTTCGGGCAAGTTCCTCGGCATCATGGTGTCAAATCGGGGAATCGAGATTAACCCCGATAAAATAAAGGCCATCGAAGACATCACCATCATGGACAGCGTGAAAACTGTACAAAGGCTAATGGGACGGATTGCAGCCTTAGGCTGATTCATTTCGAGATCATCATATCGAAGTCACAAATTTTTCTCTCTACTCAAAAAGAAGAGCGATTTTGCTTGGACCCCGGAATGCCAACAAGCATTAGAGGAACTAAAACGGTATCTATCGAGCCTACCACTACTTCACACTCTAAAAACAGACGAAAAATTTTGCTTGTACTTGGCAGTATCGAAAATCGCAGTAAGCAGTGTCCTAGTTCGGGAAGAGCAAGGTACGCAATTTCCCATTTATTATATAAGTCAGACCTTAGGAGAAGTAGAAACTAGATATCCGCACCTAGAAAAATTGGCACTTGCACTGATAAGCGCCTCTAGAAAGTTAAGACCGTACTTTCAATGTCACCCCATATGCGTATTAACCACTTACCCGCTTCGTAATATTTTGCACAAGCACAAACTATCAGGCCGATTGGCCAAATGGGCCATCGAACTCAGTGGGTACGATATCAAATATCAACCCCATACGGCCATCAAGTCTCAAATTTTAGCAGACTTTGTGGCCGATTTCACGCCAACCCTTGTACCCGAAGTCGAAAAAGAACTCTTGTTAAAATGGTAGATCATCGGGGGGTATGGACCCTTTTTACGGACGGGGCTTCGAACATGAAGGGGTCTGGGCTAGGCATAGTTTTAAAGCCACCTACGGGTAACACTATTAGGCAATCTATTAAAACTACCAGGTTGACTAACAACGAGGCCGAGTATGAGGCCATGATTGCAAGTCTCGAGCTAGCTAAAAACTTGGGAGCAGAAGTCATTGAAGCCAAATGTGACTCTTTGCTGGTGGTAAATCAAGTAAACAAAACCTTCGAAGTTCGAGAAGATAGAATGCAGAGGTATTTGGACAAACTACATGTCACTTTGCACCATTTTAAACAATGGACTTTACATCATGTTCCATGAGAGCAAAACAGTGAGGATGATGCACTTGCGAATTTGGGATCATCGGTTGAGGAAGGTGACTTGAGCTCGGGGACTGTCGTTTAACTCTTGAGATCCGTGATCGAAGAAGGTCACGCTGAGATAAATTCTACGAGCTTAACCTAGGATTGGAGAAATAAGTATACTGAATACTTAAAGAATGGAAAGCTCCCATCAGACCCTAAAGATTCAAGGGTCCTACGGACTAAAGCTACTCGATTCACGTTGGCTTCAGATGGAACGCTATACCGAAGGACATTCGATGGACCATTGGTAGTATGCTTAGGTCCAGGAGATACCGATTACATCCTACGTGAGGTGCACGAGGGCACTTATGAGAATCACTCCGGTGCCGATCCATTAGTCCGAAAAATAATCAGGGCAGGGTATTATTGGATTGATATGGGCAAAGATGCAAAGGAATTTGTTCGAAAATATGACAAGTGTCAAAGATTTGCACCAATGATCCATCAACCCGGAAAGCAACTTCACTCGGTCCTATCCCCATGGCCATTCATGAAATGAGGAATGGATATCGTCGGCCCNACAAAGTGATGAAATTCTTCGAAGATCACAAAATAAGAAGGATATTATCAATACTGTATCACCCCAGTGGGAACGGACAAGCCGAATCAACGAACAAAACTATCATTCAAAACCTGAAGAAGAGGTTGAGCGACGCTAAAGGAAAATGAAGAGAAATCCTACCCGAGCATGTATCTCCTTGAGGGTCTCCCTCCAAGATTGGCACTTTACAAGTTGAGCGACCTAATGTGCTCGAGTATCGGCGGTCTCGACTGCCTCTCTTGCTTGGACCTGGGCAGCTTCAGCATCAGCACGATAGATGGCCACAAGTGCATCCACATCGGCCTTTGCCTTCTTAGTGTTAGATTCGGCCTTGGCAAGTACAGAGGCCAACCGATCCTTGAGCTCCTCTATCTTTCTTGCTTGGACCGAGCCTTTCTCCTTCATCTTTTGAAGTTGGTTTTTAGCCGATGACAATTAGGCTCAAGCAATTTCTTTCTCTGCAGCAAAGCGGTCCATTCCTTCTTTCCACTTCAAAGACTCCACTCTTATCACATCAACTTCTTCACGGAGTTTTCCGATCATCTCGATTTTCTGCTGCAGCTGTGAGACCGAAAGGTTAGCCATTGTTCCGGTGTCAAGCCCATAGGCTTTTAAAAGTATTATTATCTGCTCGAAGAAATCGATCTGATCTTGGTGAGCCCTGGACAACTCAGCTCGAAGGTCTTTTATTTCCTCTCCACTTTGGCCCAAAAAGAGCTTTAAGGAGTTCCTCTCCTCCGTAACCCGTTGAAGCTCGGCCTCGTATCGACGTAGCTCGGTTCGGGATCGAGAACATGATTCTCGATGAACTACCACAGCCTGCAAAGAAAGAAAAAACGAAGTCAGAAAAGAAAAGTAAACTTAAAGGTAACGCCATATGATTTAAGGCCTACCTGATTCAAAGCCTGCTACACTCCGTGAAAAAGATCCGATGCGTCACTTGTACCGGCAGTGTTTTCGACGCTTATGAACAAGTCACGAAAAGGATCCTCTCCATCACGAGGCCTATCTAATTCGAGGGCCCCCAAAGCTTGGGCCTCCCAAATCGCCCCTGCGGAAAAAGCAGGGAAGGTGGGCGAGCCTTCGATTGCTACTGCCCCGAATGAGTCATCTGGGGCATTCTATTCGGTTCGAAAAGATTCGGGAAGAGCCCCTTTGGACATATCCCCCATCCGTCGGCTTGAATGGGAAACATCTTCGATTTCCAGCAACTCGGGGACTCTGCCCGAAGCTCTCTCCTATATATCCTCAATTTGAGGCGGAGCCTTATGAACCACCATCGATCCAGCTGCCTGTGGAACGTCGGTGGTCTTCTTTGTTCGGGTCTCCAGAGCGGACCCATCGTTCTCTTCTTCTTCTTCTTCTTCTACTTCTTCTTCTTCTTCTTCTTCTTCTTCTTCTTCTTCTTCTCTTAGACGCAGAACTGATTCTACGGTCAAAGGAATGGCATTCTTGTTCGGCTTACGAATCGTCCTTTTCTTCGATTTTTGATCTTCGAGGACGGGGGCTCTTTTCCTCTTACTATCTTTGACCGGCTTTGGGACAGAGGCCGAAGCCTCTTCCTCGGTAGACGAGGGCCTCAAAACCGTATCCTTGCCCACACCTGCATGTGAAATCTTTTACTGAAGTATGCGAAAGGCATCTTATTCGAGTTACCGAAGGACACGAGAGGAGTGCTCACCGTGATTTTTGGCCTCCCATCGGCCCTTTGACAAGTCGCGCCATGAGCGCTCGGCATATGAGGAGGTCGAAACCAGATCACGTACCCAATTCTTGAGATCGGGCACTGCACCGGGTATCCAGGGAACCGCTGCATCACAAAAGCGGAATATTTGTGAGAAAAGAAATGAAAGAACAACATAATAGGGGATAACGGCAAAATTACACTTACGCTTCATATTCCACTCCTCGGGGAAAGGCATTTTTTCGGTTGGGATCAAGTCTGATGTCCTCACTCGAACGAACCGGCCTATCCAGCCTTGATCCTTATCCTTGTCTATACTCGAGAATAGAGCTTTGGTAGCTCGACGTTGGAGTTTTATTAATCCTCCTCAAAAAAGACGAGGATGGTATAATCGGACAAGATGATCGAGGGTGAAAGGCATCCCCTCGATTTTACTTACAAAATATCGGATCCAAATAATGATCTGCCAAAAGGAAGGATGTATCTGGCCTAGGGTTATTAGGTATTTAAGACAAAAATCTATGATAACAGGGTCGAGAGGACCTAACGTGAAAGGGTAAGTATACACGCTTAAAAACCCTCTTACGTGAGTAGTGATGTCCTCTTCAGGAGACGACACCACCACCTCTTTGTTCTCCCAGTTACAATCTTTTTTTATCCGCTTGATGTGCTCCCGGGTTATCGAACAAATATATCTCGATACGGGCTCACATCGGCCAGGAACCGGTGAACCTTTATTGAGTTTGAAATCTGATGTATAAACACACGCCGCCGGAACGCACTCCTCGGGACGAGGATCCGCCGGTGTTTTATATCGGCGGCGGATTGGGAAGAAGAAGCTTTTTCTTTTTGGGGGACGGTTTTGGATGTCTTCACCATTTTGGATTTAAATAAGGTGACGAAGATTTGGTAATTTGGAAGAAGAATTTTGCAAAAGGAACTACTGATTTGTGAATGAACTCAGAGAATACGAAAGGGAAATTGGGAAATTTGGAAGATTGGAGTTGCAAAAGTACTAAATGATAAAAGGAAGGGATATTTATAGGTTCAGGCAATGGCGGTTCAGTATCAGCAGTGGCCGACCACCGTCTGACATGCATTAAATACCTTAAAAAACTAAATCGACGGGACATCTATCACGTGCATCATAGTCGAGCCCAATATAAACGTGAGTTTGTAATCCGATCGAGCCGTTAAAAAATTATATCATTTCTTACCACATTCTTCCTGAGAAACGAGGGGATTATCTGTATACGGTCGAAATAAATTTTGGCCTTCGTATGATCGATCGAGTTTGAAACATAATCGATCGAAGCGAGACTTCGAGTCAGGTTCTGAAGATGGTACAAATAAGCTTCGAGTTTGAGGGGCCGATATCCTTATCGAGCCCGAATCCAAATCGAGCTATGATGCAAAGTAATGTTATCGAGCTTATGATCTAGAGACCGACCAAAATCGATCCCGAATCAATTCAAGGGTCCGAGTCCGAATCGAGCTCAAGCCAAGATCGAGAGCTCGAGTCAAGATCGAAAACTCGAGTCCATATCGAGTTCATAGACAAGAGCCGTTGCAATCCCACTAGAGGAGAGAATCTCGGCAGGAATTGTAAAAAACCTGATTTATCATGGTCTCCCACTATGTATTTGTAATTATATTTAAAGTAAGATCCCTGTACTATAAAAAGGGATGGTTATCATTTCGGTTAGGGCAAGTTTTTTCATGCTTACATTGTAATAAAAATACTATATTCCCCCATAGTAAAGAGTTGTTCTTTTAAGCTTCTTAAATTGATTCCACTTGTTTAGTCCTGAAATTCATCTTTCTTACAACCTTATCTATTTTGCATTCTTTGCAATCCATACTTATATTCCTATTTATCCTTATAATTTGTATTAAGTTGCGCCACATATCCTTAGAACCACGTATAAATTCAACTCTATCCGTTTTCCGGTTAAACAATGTGTATGCCTCACATTATATTTTAGTCTTAGTTTGGGTATTATACATGTTTTATTTTATCCATATCAACTAAAATTATCCCAAACAAAATATCATTTACTGCGCGAAGCGCGAGCCAATTAACTAGTATTTATATAATGGAAGGCCAATAACATATGAGGTGGCATTCCCTCTAGCCACTATTTGTATTTATCTTTTTTGTTAGTTTGCACCTTTTCTCTTATTTAAAAATGATGAAAAAAAAACAAATGTGGAAGTATGGGCTGAGGCCCATACTTGAATATAGATATATATATATATATATATATAAAATGGAAGGCCAATAACATAATGAGGTGGCATTCCCTCTAGCCCGTATTTGTATTTATCTTTTTTGTCAGTTTGCACCTTTTCTCTCTTTTAAAAATAATTAAAAAAACAAATGTTCCCTTAAAGAAAATTAAAGCCTCACTTCTTTTCCTTGAAAACAAAATGTCGCGTCTTTTAGCGCCTTCTTAGGATAAAGCGTTACCACTTCTTTAAGCGCCCGCCTAACCTTGGGCTCCTCATCATCGTCCTTTTCCATCCCTGATAAATCTCCTCTTTCTTGCGCCTTCTTTCTTCTTCCCCCTACTCGCGCACCACATTCTTATTCAGTATATTTTATTTTCTCCTTTATTTTCTATTCCGCTTATTTCTACTATTGGTCAGACCTAAATATCCTCTTTTGATATGTGATTTGCTTATACATAGCAATCTGATTTCTTCACTCGTAGTTCAACTTTCGGTATAATTTATTGATGGATATGAAAGAGGAAAAAACTATTTGTATATGGTTAAAATTGGGCCTACTCGATTTTTCTATGCTGACCGAGACCAAAAAGTTGCATCGAAGGTCGACTCAGAAGTGGATCGGGTCACGACACGAAGACAAGATACCGAGCTCAGGATTCGAGACACCTGCTAAGATCAAAGCCGACAGCAATCGAGACCAAACAAGACATGCATCGAGCAATACCGAAGATAGCGTAATAACGGAAAAGCGAGATATCCGCGACTGGTCGAAGGTCACGGCGAAAATCTCAGAATGGATCGAATCAAGAACGGTTATTTAGCTAATCATGTGATTTTCTTCTGTAATTAGAATTATACCATATAAAGAATTCCTCTACTATATAAAGGGGAGTTCTAACCATTTTGTGAGAACAACTGAGATAAAAGCAATATAATTTTCTTTCTCGCTCACACTCTTGTTTTTCAGCTTATTGTATTTTTATTGTCCTTGCATCAACCAGTTCGAGGATACTCTAACTCAAGGGTTGAGTTCTACTCAAATACTAGTTTGATTTACTTTATTGTACAATTCTATCATTAATTTTTATATAGCTCAATTGGTATTAAGTGAAATCACGTATCCTTAAATCCACATTATAAGTTTAATTGTTATTCAATTTTAAGGATATACAGTTTGGCGCCCACCGTGGGGCTAAGGATAATAGTGATTGCTAAATACTAATTTCAATAACACACACTGCTTTACACTTGTTCTCGTAAGAATCTTTGTTTTCAGGACAAACATGTCAAACTCACAAGCAACACCTACACATGGTGACAACAACCTTGAATTTCACGGGGAAAACGACAACATAGCTGCCCCAGGAATCGAGGTGCCTCAGGCCGACCTCGAGGGAGCACCAATTGCAATTCTCGTCGATGTTAGTTCACATGTCGCCCTAAATGCAAATTTGAGCATTGAGCCCGAAGGTAGTATACACAGGGAAGTTTGATCAGGTGGTCGAGGTACACAAGGTGGAGAAGATGGTGGAGTTAACCTTCAATTGATATTCGAAATGTTACAGGCTAAACAGGCCGCTATAGCGTAACTACAAAATCAACATCGAACACCGAGTAGGATCGAACCAGAAGTCGTTCAAAGGACCGAGCCTGTGCCGGAAAGGACGAATGTCAACGAATCGGGGACTGACCCCGCCATTATGAAAATGTTAGAGGCGCTCACTAATAGAATTGAATCGGGAGAAAAGAAAATTGAGGCAAATGACAGAAAGTAGAGATATATAACTCCCAGGTTGACCAAATACCGGGGGTACCACCGATTTTAAAAGGTATGGATTCAAAGAAATTTGTACAGAAGCCTTTCCCTCCGAGTGCGGCACCGAAACCCATTCCGAAGAAATTT